TCCATCTATGGATTATCTCCTTGTTCCTTAACAGGTGAAGCAGGACATGGCTGTAGGAAGTAAATTTGAAACAATTATTCTGTTTGATACTCTCAGCACCCTTCTGAGAGGATGACAATGTCTCAAACCTGGAAATAAGTGGTACCCAGGTTCAATGCTATCTACACTACCCAAGATGGTCCAAGACAGCATGTCACAAAGTGTTGTGTGACAACCTATTACACACTTACTGCTCAATTCAATATTAACATTTATAACATTGTATCTCATTGCAGGGCAAATATTGTAGATTGTGCTTGCAAATGAAAACTTTTCATATTTGCTGAGAGCGGGGAGACCAACATTGCACAAGTATTTGAAATTTCTTACTGTGGCTAAGGGTATTAAGAAAAGCTGGAAAACAGATACTGACTGATCTGAAGACAAAAGACAATGGTAAACCTGTTTCTAAATAAAAGGACTTTCTTTAAATCTGACCTCTAGGTAAGCATTGTCATACTGCGCCATCACAGACCAAGAAGATAGCGCAGATCTTAGATAAAATCTTGTTGCGATTGAGACAAGATAAACTGATATTATTTGATTGTGAGTATACTGTTAGCATATTTGTTTGAATATCCTACATTTATTTCTAGTTGGATTTCAAAATGCTATGTTTGTTTGTAGGTAAATTTATTTACTTTACACTTTATAATATCGTTCCCATAATGTAATCCAGGATTAATTTGAATAAAATATTACTAAATAAATCTTAAAAGTAGTTGCCCAACCTTTTACACTTCAGGACCCTATGTATCTCCAGAATTATAAATGGGAAATTCATTGTACCGAGAGTAGTTAAATTAAGGCAGTTTTTTTCTGCAATACCATACTTACTAAGTATATTTCATCATGTGATGCCCTTGTTTGGTCCAAATACTCCAGGGAGAGCATTTTAGGACCATACCTAAAGCTAGTAACGCTGGCTAGGCACTTATAATGATTTAAAATCATTCCTCTTCAAGGATATGTTCAAATATAAATTTAAATAGTTGTTTAGTAGAACAAAAATTAAATATTACTATGAAAAGATATTTTGATGATCTTTTTGTCTTGCACTCATCAGGACATTTGCAAGAAACACCATTGTAAAGGGGAATAACGTTTTATGTTCTATGAGAAGAAAATACTGGATGGTTGGCAAGTGGACTCTGACAATGGTGGCATTGTTATGAAGAATGCACCAGTTAGATGATGACTGACAGTAAAATATCAGACATTGTTTAGATTTAAACAGGCAATAAATGATGAATAAATAGATAGGTAATAAATAAATGTAACTGCCAGGAGGTAAAGATAACAAGAACCATTACAGCACAACTCAAATCATTGTAAAACTATGATTTACTCACATATCACTTACTGGTATCAAAGGCTAGCTTTCTGTTTAGGAATACGTCTGTCATTGTGCATGTACTCCTTAAACTAACAGCACCTTCAGGCTATTGTTCTGTTCAGACAACAAGGCGGCATGTAATTCAGGAGCACAATTGGGACCCAGAAAAGATTTCCTTGGTGAAATGCAGATACAAGGGACATCTCCTCAGATGCGCCCAAAACCTTGTGTGGAAGTAAATGTCTTCGTTTTAATGAGGTTGGCTTAGTACAAAAACCGTATTTTCATTTTCTAGTTTCATAAGGAAAAGAGATGTTGCACAGAGAAAAATCTGAACCTGGCAGTTAACAACAAAAGATTTAACATTCCTTAATTGTTTTGAGATGAATCATCAAAAGCTCAAAGTCCAAAATGAAGTCCAAAGTGAGTCAAATAGTACAACAAAAAACAATTTAATGTAATTTTAAGAGACTTAGGAGGACCCCCACTAGGGCATATAATTTCCTCTATTTGCTGTTGTAAGGGCTGGATTTTCACAACCCTATTGTGAAAATACCCAACTCAGCCAACTGCCTTGGTTTATAATGTCCCCTTGAATGCAAGAGTAGAATTGACCCTGTTAACCTGGAAGCAGGTCACAACGAGCTATGGGGACAGGTTAGTGATGAGGCAGGCTGGTTAGAATGTTGTTTCAAAGGTTGAAGTTAGTTTTTCCTGTAAACTATACCAGACGGCCTGTTGACTAAACCAGTCCAGCAGAGCTTTTATTATAGCAACAATGGATGTTTAATTCCACCCACTTTGCACTTGAAGAACAGACAATAAAAAAAACCTTCAAATCCAGACACTTGAATAGACTTCATCCACCATACTAGAGCACTTACATCGAGACAATAGGTTTGAGACTCTCAGATTATGGGTTAAGGCTCTGGGAACAACAAAAATGGAATGCTTAAACTTATTGGCAAGTTCAAATGCCTCTATGTTATGGCTTCCTGATCTGTGTGAATCACACTGTCCAGGTCCCAATTAATTATAACTGGGGGGTGTTGGGAAAGAGTTGAGGACCCTCTGCATCCAGGTTCTGCCTGCCATTGTTAAATGTCCATGGAGTATTCTTGATCCTATGAACATCCTGCCTAAGTGAAAAGGTTGCATTAGAATTATGAAGAAATCAATTGCACAATCCTTCCACCGTATCCAGTATGAAAAAAAATACCGTTTCCCAAATAATTGGGAAATAACCATAATTAAATCAAATAAATCCTTCTGATTCTAAACCTAAATTTTCTAGATTAGATTGAGACAAAACAGAGGTAAGACAAGCTACTCAAAATAGCTCCAAACATAATCCCTTCTGCTTCTTTTACTTCCTCTTTCAAAAGATGGGCCAATGATTAGATTTAATTTTTCTTGATTTAAACATATTTGTAGATTATTAATTTAAATGAACATAAAAACGGTGAAGAGTATAGATGTAAGGTGATTCCAGCAAATGTAAGAGCAGAAATTTACTGTCACTTTATTGGTTCAATTTGCTTTACATGAATAAAGTCAAATATAAAAAAAATTCATCTGTGACTAGTCAAATTTAATTGAATGCCCCTGAATAGCAATAGTTTCCAGTAAGTTGTTGAGAGTGTAGCTCTGTATGGAATAAAAGTTGAGATAACATTGTTAACCACATTCTTCAAATTAACTATTTATTAAATTATATTCCTTTCTGGTGTCCTCACTAAATGCATTAGGAATATTTACATTTATGTATGATAGAATCCCTTAAAAGGCAAATACGTTACAGGGCAAAGTCCAGTACTTTAATTTAGCTTCATTCCTAATGGATTAACTTCCATCTGGTTTTACTGTTTGGGCCAATGCTCCAGGAGAGATGTGACCTGTAGCTGAAACATGAATGCAGTTGTCAAACATTCATCATCAACAGATGGATCCAATTACTGCAATCGTGTGCTCCATTGTTATACACAAGTGACATTTTGATCACACATACGGTGTAATTGTATCTTCTCTATTCTAGTCTCATTACCACAATTTAATATTTTAGCTCCACCTGGGTTGGGGGGTGGGGTGGTGAATTCAAGCAAGGATTATCCCAATTGGCCACTTTGGAAACACATTTCATTTTCTTAGGGATTCTATATTCTTTCTGTCAATGTTGCCCTAACTATCTGGAGAGCCCCTGTGAAAAGTCAGCTGCATCACTTTACACGGAAGATATTTACATTAGGTCTCCATTGATGACATTCTTAAGAATAGACCGTTTCTAAGCGAACCCAATGGAATTTCTCACAAACTGTAAATGGACTCAGTAAATGCTTTGACTGTAAACCTCCATAATTGGTACAGTCCAAATAACGTGCTTGGAAAAATTTCAACCCATTTTATAATTGTAACTCTGGCATGCTAAAGTATAATCATTAGCTTACACAAGTTAAAAGAAAACATAGCACATTTTCACTTTGATCATACAGCAATAATCTGGTGGAGCAGACTAGCTGTCCATGATAAATACAGTACTTATTACACTGAAGCCAACACAACAAACATCAGATGGTGGGGGAAGGAGGGAATGAGCTCTGACTGTGGTGTGGTGTTATGGGGAGGGGAGGGAGGCTGTAAAAGGAGGGATGGAGTGGTGGAGGGGTTGGGGTAGGGAGGATAAGCAGTTGTGGTGTGGGGTTGGGGAAGTGGGCACCATCTGAGATGCCACAGGTAGTGAACATTGTCCGTGGTGAGGGGGAGCAGAGTGGTGAGCATTGTGAGGAAGTGAGGTATAGTGATGATGTCACTAGATGAGCTATCCAGAACCTCGGGCTAATGTTCTGAGGACGTGGATTTGAATCCTGCCATGACTTCAATAAAAATTTGAGTAAAAATGTTAGTCTAACGGTGACTGTGTAAGCATTATTGGCTGTGGTAAAAACCCCTCTGGTTCACTAATGTCCTATAGTGAAGGAAATCTGCCGTCTTTATGCAGTCTGGCCTACATGTGATTCCAGACCCAAAACAATGCAGTTAGACTCTTAATTGCTCTCTGGGCAATTAAGAATGGGCAATAAATACTAGTTTAGCCAGTGATGCCTATATCCTATCAATGAACAAAAATATCGCACTTTCCAGGAGATGGGTGAACTTTTGATATGCAGTTGATTTATTTGTGAGTTGCTCTCCTGGGCAAATGTTAGATCTGCTACAAAAATCCCTGTGTAAATCCATATAAAACCCAAGTCTGTGCATTCTGGAATCTGTAATTGGAATTGCAGAGCAATACCGGGATCCAGTAAAACTGGAACTGGTTTTCCCTTGTACGTACTGGAGATGTGGGACTTAGAGTTCTGTGGTGCAACAGCGATGAAAGTCTGGAGTAGGAGGTCCCTCCTCATAGGAGATGGTTTGGACATTGGGTCTTTTGAAAATTGGGGCAGTGGATTTCCTGTGAATGTATTAATATTGCTTGATTTGTTTTAACTAACAGGTTCTAGTGAATGTCTTTAACTAGCCAGAAGGTGACTGTGATACAGATTACAGCAACTTAACCATAATGAATATGTAATGTAATCATTAATGACTTCAGTTATACAGAGAGTAAGTTCAATAACATGGTTACCTGCCGGCCTCAAATGTGAACCAAGTTGAGTCTCTTCCATAACGTCTGAGAGAGCTGAGTGGCCACATAACCAGTTTCACTCTGGGGTTGTGGATGTCCCAGAGGTAAATGTTTTCATGTGTGATCTGCATGGTGCATTCTCCGTAAATGTCCAAGTTGGGTGTTGGCATCAAGTAAACATTAAACCGCTCTGAAAACACAGAAACAGATCGATATGGTCAACCAGGGTATTAGGAGCAGAGACAAGTATTGTGCACTAAGTCTGCTTATGATTCCCAGGAGCCTCTTGCCCATACTTGCTAATCTAACCCTATTTATACATACTACTATTTCTCCCTTGAGGTTATATTTGTCCAGCTTCCCCTTAAATACATGTGTTACATCAATCTCAACTAGTCCTTGTGGTTAATGGGTTCCATATTCTGACCACTCTCTGGGAAATTATATTTCTTCTGAGCTCCCAACTGGATTAGTTAGCAATTCTCTGAAACACAGCCCTTAATTCTGTTAGCTACCTCAAGCGGGAACATCTTCTCCACATTAACCCTACCGGAATCCTTAAGCCCTCTATCATGTCATTCCTCTGTCATCTCTATTCTTGAGAAAAATGCTGCAGCCTCTCAATCTTTGGTCACAGGGATGGCATTTTAAGTTGTGCCTTCATTATAATGAGGTCCTTGTTAATAATAGTGACACATTTGATATGAGTGATTGTAGCAGATGAGGAAATAAACAACAAAAAATCAGAGATAGTAGGAACTGCAGATGCTGGAGAATCCGAGACAACAAGGT